AAGGGATTCTTCAAACTTACCCTCCCCCAATTAGAAAGTCATGATATAAAATGTGTGACTATTTAAAATCAGGTGGATATAAATATAAATATTGTATCAGAAGTATATTTTATTCCGTTAAAAGCCCTTTCTTCATAGTCAACCGACAGCTTTTTTTTTTTTTTTTTTTTTTTTTTTTTTTTTTTTGTGGGGAATAGAAAGCAGATCCATAATTATTTTTATTTTTATCAAAGATTTAAAAGTATTTTTGAGTTTTCCATAAGTTTTCCACAATGTAGAGCATTCTAATAGCATTTCTTAATGAATGACATAAGTGACCATCCTCCTAGCTAACTATTTTAATGATCTTCCTCCTGAGCACAGGTATTTGGGGGCGGCAATAACATATATAATCAAAGGTTTATCAGCACAGTGGAAGAAAGTTATGTCATGGGCAGTCAAAACACTCATCAATCCACATTAGTATCTATACTTCCTTAGATAACCTCTTTTTTTTTTTTTTTTTTTTTTTTCCCCTTTATTTTATTTTATTTTTTTTAAAGTTGTAGATTTACAATTTTTTGTGCTTTGGTTTCAATTATACAATGATCAGATACCCATCCCTCCACCAGTGCCCATTTTCCACCACCATGGATAATATCCCTCCCACCCCCATCCCCCCATCCCCCCGTCTCTGTGGCAGGGCAATCCCCTGTGTTCTCTCTCTCCTTTTGGGTGTTGTGGTCTGCAAAAGAGGCATTGAGTGGCAAACATGTTCAGTCCATAGTCTACTTTCGACATGCATCTCCCCTCCTGGGAGGATCCTCCAAACATCCTTTATTTGGTGCTCCCTTCCCTATCTGAATAGCCCTTTCCTCTAGGATACCCGGCTGGCCTCTAAGTTATGGAGTAATCCTCCTGGTGCTGATCTCAGCTATTCTTGGGTATTAATCTCATACTTTGTTACTTTATATCCCCCAGATGAATGCAATCTTTCTATGTCTATCCCTCTCTTTCTGACTCATTTCGCTTAGCATGATACTTTCCATATTGTACCACTTGTATGTAAATTTCATGACTTCATCTTTTCTAAGAGCTACATAGTACTCCATTGTGTAGATGTACCAAAGTTTCTTTAACCAGTCATCTGTTCTTGGGCATTCAGGTTTCTTCCAGTTTCTGGCTATTGTAAAGAGGGCTGCAATGAACAAACAAGTGCAGATGTCACTTCGACTATACATTTTTGCCTCTCTGGGATATATTCCCAGGAGTAGTATTGCTGGGTCAAATGGGAGCTCAATTTCTAATTTTTTGAGAATCGTCCATACTGTTTTCCAGAAGGGCTGAACCAGTGGACATTCCCACCAACAGTGAAGGAGTGTCCCTTTCTCGCCACATCCACGCCAGCATCGGTTGCTTTTGTTCTTTTGAATGTGGGCCAGTCTCTGAGGTGTGAGATGGTATCTCATTGTGGTTTTGATCTGCATCTCCCTGATGATTAATGATGTAGAGCATTTTCTCATGTGCTTTTTTGCCATTCGGATTTCTTCTTTGAGAAAGTTTCTGTTCATTTCATTGCCCCATTTTTGGATGGGGTTGGATGTTTTCTTCTTGTGGAGTTTAACCAGTATTTTGTATATCCTGGATATCAACCCCTTGTCAACCGACAGCTTTTTAAAAAGATTTTTGATTTGATTAAAGAAAAAAGGAAAGGAAAGAATTCTTCTATAAAAAGATAATAATTTGAAGAATAGCATCTGGATTGACTGTAGAATCTAGGTAGGATTTTAGTATGAAAAACTGAGGGGCCTGAGGGAGATAATTTTACTAAGACCAAAGCAGTAGTTTTAGTTTCCAAGTAATTTATTTTATTTTTGGTTTTGGAGCCACTAGGTTTGGCTCCCATATCTGATTCCTGGCTCTATGCTCAGGGCTGACTCCTGGCACACTCAGGAAACCATGTGGGGTACCAGGGATTAAACCCAGTTTGGCAGTGTGCAATGCACATCCTCTTCCAGCTGTAGTCTCTCTCCAGCCCCAGATAATTCAATTGTGAGGAAATTTTGTATTTGTCATCAGAGGCTTCATCAAATGATCTTGGTGCATGGGAACATATAACGTTGTTTTAGAGTAGCCTTTACATTTTATCTTTGGGGAATGGATAATTAGATTACTTTCTCTGTAAACTAATTACAGCTCTTCAAAATAACTTCTTATACATTTGAAAGGTAAATGAATATTTGGGGGCATTTCTTACCAGAAAGGTTTAGTCATTATTTAATCACAGTTGAAATCACAGAGTTGACCAGCATCTGTATTGAAAATGTCTTTTGATGCTTTGTTCAGTGTGTGCAAAGCTTAGATAAGCATCAGAGAGAAAAGCTGTTGAACTGATGCTATTAAATGTCAAACATTTACTGCACTGGATGATATATTTTAGGATTCAGCCTTTGACAAGTTGACTCAGGACTTAACTTGTCATTACTTGTTGTATCCTTCAGTAGTTCATAAGAAGACAGCTATACTTCCATCGAGGGATTTCTTCTGACTAGAAAGAAAAAGAATTGAAGTTTGAAACATTCATAGTTAATGGCAGAATTTTATTGGTATGTTAGGAGGGACTTTGCATTTAAATTTCTTGAACTGCTTACCAAAATACACAACCTTTAAAAGGGTGCGCATCACATCTCAATCTTAATTATTAGGTTAACAACAGTAACTTTATGTAATATGTTTGGTTTTGGGGAAGAGAGACACATCCAGTTGTGCTTACAACTTCCTCCTGACTCTGTACCCAGGGTTTACTCCTGGTTGTGCTCAGGATACCATATTTGGTGCCGGGGTTCAAACCAAGATAGGCCATATGCAAGTCAAGCACCTTAAATGGTGTACTCTCTCCAGAACTAATAAAGTTTTTTTTTATTCATTCTTTGCTGAAAGTCTTGTATTTATCATAATGTGATTTTTTTAAGTCACATAACATAGGGACATGGTATTTCTCACGGAAATGACCCAGATTAATCTAGTTTCATATGAATTGATAATACCCAGCTCTTGCAGGCTTTTGAGCTCAAAATGGGTGTAAGATAAATGAAAAGGCTAAAGCATATCAGGAGTATTAGAGCAAGTGTCAGAATTCTTCAAAAAGAAAATTAGAAAACCTGGAGGTCAAGACTACTGTGATGGTGTGGGAGATAAAACAATAGATAACGATGTCAGAAAGCAAACAGTGAAGATTACAGGCACAAATGTCAGCCAAGGAAGGAGTAGTTACTGCAAGTTCAGAAGATGCTTGAAGTGAGTGCAATTAGATGAGAATAGCTTTGAAGAGAAAAGAAAGTAAAGGACTTTTGCTTTATTTTAAAATTAGGGTCAGTGAAATTCCAGCAATGTGAAAAATGATTTTACTGTCATGTAAATGTACATGATATGCATTGATAATAATCTTAGCAAACTATGTTGCATTGTGGACTTAAAACTAGTAATATTAGAGGGGTTGGAGCGATAGGATAGCGGGTAGGGCATTTTCCTTGCACGTGACTGATCCGGGTTTGATTCCCAGCATCCCATATGATCCCCTAGCACCACTAGGAGTAATTCCTGAGTGCGGTGTGACCCAAAAAGAAAAAAAAAAGACTAGTAATAGAAATGTACAAGTATTATGGATTTACCAAATGCCATTCACTTGGGACACATATATGCTTTCTTGCTTCCAGATGTAAAGTTTGAGTTCTACCAGCTAAAAGAGTTGCATAGTACAAGCAGCTAGCTATCCTGAATTAGGAGGAAGCACAAGTTCAACCTCTGGATTAGCGGATGGAGCGCCATCCAAAGAGCAGGACATATTTTTGACAAAGGTTAGAAAATGGGACCATGCCCATGTGTGTGTTTCTGACTTGACAGTGTGTAAATGGCAGAGTTGGAGAGAAAAATAGGGGTCAGATCACAGAGACCTTTAAATTGTGTGGCATACTTCAAGAATGATCTGGAGAAGAACAATGACAGTAAATATTTTAACTGCATTTTCGAAAGATCATTCAGATCTCCCCCGAATGCATTGGAGAGATGAAGAATTGGGGAGGGGTCTCTTTAGAGGGTAGTTTCTGACCTCACAGGGCCATAGAAAGCCTGAAATAAAGCAGTGTTGGCATAAAACAGGGCACAGAGTAATTTGTTAGGGGACAGGAATCCAGAGAATTTTGAATCTGAACACCATGTGACAGTGATAGCAGCGTGGGTTGAGGTGAGAGGCCAATTAACAATTAAATGCCTTTTTTTTTCCTGGTGGACTCAATGAACAGTCATCTAGATAGAGCAGTTTGGTATGGGAGAGGAAAAGGTTTGAGATGCTTGTGATACAAGTAATGTGAAGATGTCAGAAAATAAATATGAATAACCATTATGGTAAATTAGCCATTAATGTCCAATTTATTGATTTTGGAGGTAAGCACTATTTTTGTTGTTTTACTTTTTTAAGAAAAATTTTGTGTTTGGGGCTCAGGGCTCTCTCCTGACAGGGCTTGTGGAACCATATGGGGTGCTAGGGATTGATTGCCTGTCTACAAGGCAAGAGCCCTAACACTTTACTATCTCTCCAGCATGAGAATAACTGACCTGAAAATAGGAGTTAAAGCTGAAGGTATTGTAACAAAAGGCAAATTGGATGTTCTCTTTCAGTAAATTAATGACTATTATAAGAATTTAAAAAAAATACAGCCATAAATATTTATTATTGTCACCGGTGATTCTTGCCAGAATTAGTAACTTCAGGAAGAGAAAAATGGAAGCTGGGGAATGGAAAGAAAGGAGATCACAAACTCAGAAATCTTATTCCCCTTGGGGATAAGACTGTGCAGGCAATTGAAGCATTGACTTGGTATTAGTGATGGGACAAAGGAAGACTCTTCCCACGACTGAGACAAGATGACTTTTGCAATGAATTTAAGGATATTCTGTTTAGAAATAAGTTTTTTTTAAAAAAAAACAGAATTATAATTTGAAATGCCTTTTAAATTTTACAGAACATTATACATCCATGGGCATACCAAGTTGGATTTCACAGTCTGGCATACAGCAATTGAAAAAGCAGCAGGTACAGATGGTAATGCATTACAAGATCAGCAGCTCAGCAAAAATGACGTTCCCATTATCGTGAGCAGCTGTATAGCATTTGTTACACAGTATGGTGAGTATTACAGAGCTTTTATTCAACCCCCAGAACTTATAGTATCTTTCTAAGTAAGTGGTACCTACGTGGACCTGCATTAGAGGACTTATCAGTGAAAAATGTATAGTCACTTTTCAACTAAGTGCCTTTCCTTCTCCCATTGAAAATTATTTAAATCACATAATGTGCCGTATTCTCCTCATCATGAATCAATATTTTAAATATCACAATTGAAAGAATTTATTTTAAAATATGCACTAAAAATAGATTGAATATTATAAGTTTAATAGTTTTCAACTTGATAATTAAGTGTGGAGGTAAACTCTGGGATAGTAGATAGCAATGAACTTTTTTCTTGACAGGCATATGAAATGTAGATTGTGTATTTCATATACACTTTGCTCTGGATGCTATTGGATGGATACTTATATTGATAATATAATTTTTACTAATTGGTAACAGGAAACTGACTAGTTTGCATACAGGTAGAAAAACAGATTGATCTTTTGTGGTATGGTAGAATTTTAAATGTATCTGAAAAGTAACCTTTAAACATGAAAATGTTTATTTTCAAATCACAGTGTCTTTTTCAAATACTTTCTCTTTGTTGTACATTTTCTTAATAATCTAAAAGGAAAATATTTCTTAACTATGTAATTTTATGTACACTGTATACCTTATAATCTATAAATAAATGCTGTTTGAATTTGAAAATGTGGAAAAGTCACATGCTTGAGCTAATATTTGTGGAACGTGTATGAACTTGTTTTTTCAACATTAGAATTGTCTTTCAATTTAGTCTATCATATTTAGTTTTTTTTTTTTAAAGATGGGAGAGGGGCTGGAGCAATAGCACAGCAGGTAGAGTGTTTGCCTTGCACGTGGCCCGACCCAGGTTCTATTCCCAGCATCCCATATGGTCCCCCAAGCATGGCCAGGAGTAATTCCTGAGTGCATGAACCAGGTGTAACCCCTGTGCATCGCTGGGTGTGACCCAAAAAGCAAAAATAAAAAAAAAATTTAAAAAAAGACGAGAGAGCTACAGGAAATCGTTGTGTCATTAGCATATTACTTATTGAGTACCAGTTGTATACTTACCGTTGATGTTTGTACTGGAAATACTATAGAGGGAGTCATCAATTAAAGACAGAGTCATGGGTCCTGCATTCCATTTTGACAATTCACAATAAAATGATTTGTAACAAAGTGTTATATAATGTTATGATGAAAAGAATTTCTGTATCTTCTAGGAAGAATGGTATTTTAATGAAGTACTTTGCTCATACTCTAGTCACAATTTTAATTAATATTCAAGCTAATTATTTTTGAATATATAGCATCTGTCACTGTAAGCTCACATATGTCAACATTTCTCTTATGAAACTCTTATGAATTTCTTTGATAAAACATTTCTCAGCTCTAGTCATGTGTTTTACATGGGATAAGAAAACTTCATCTTCATTTATTAACCATTCAGCATTAGTGTACTTATATTTAGCAAATTTAAGTTGTTCATGTATTACATTTAGCGAGATCATAACCTCATTGGGAATTCTCAAATCATGTTAATTTCATAATGTTGTGGAGTCTTTCTTAAGGTGACAAATGATTAAAATAACTTAACTAGTTCTGTTGTATCCAGTTTAATGTTACTCTAGGGAAATCTGTGAAGTTTCTCTATGATGCTTATTTGAATTTAAAAATCACTAAGCATTAGATTGCTTTCAGCTAAATTTCATACATTATAGTCACTTTGTAACTCTAGTACAAGGTACATTAACTTGTATATTAAAGTCATAAAGCCAATGAAAGACTCATAATGTTTTGTTTTTCTTTTTTAATTGAGCATAACATGGGAAAAACCCAATGTAACCAACTTATATGGAAGAGAAGATTTAATATGAACTTGGAAAATGACCATTAATCATAGGATGTAGTTGACCAAAATCTTTTTAGTCACTATATTTTGAACTTTATGACTTTTGGGTTAAAATCTAAAAGCATTATTAAGATTAAATGTAATTACTATAAAAGTTCCCATGAAATTTCTACAAGAACATAGAACATATGGTGCTAAAATTATGGAATTACATCCCCTAACCCCCAAGAAATATTCAAGATGTACTGAGAAAAAAGATATGAGGAACTGTGTTTCCTGATTTCAAATTATACTATAAAGCTATAGTGCAAAACAGTATGGTTTTGGAATAAGAGCAGGTATTCATACCAATGTAGTAGTATTGAGAACCCAGTAATGAACCCTTGAATATATGAGCCATTAATTTACAACAAAAAAGTCAGGAGTTTGAAATGTAGAAAAGAACAACTTTTCAAAAAGGTGTATGGAGAAAACCGGTTAGCCATGTGTAATAAAATGAAATCGGAGCACATATATAGAATACACACAAGTTAACACTCGTGGATTAAAGAGACATTTGTTAGACTTGAATACATAAAATTACATAGAAACAGAAAACATGGACAAAACACTCTCTGACACTGGCTTCAGTAGTGTCTTCAGTGATCTGACTCCATTGAATGGAAAAATAAAGAATATTAGCTTCTGCAGTTTGAAAGAACTGAACTCACTGGGAGAAAATGATAGGAGAAAATTTTGTGGCATACGTACAAAGCAGAAAACTACTTGGCTATAAGACATGAAATTTTGCTTTTTTCCTTGACCAGATTAGCTGAATTAGTCAGAGAAAGGAAAACCTAACAGTGCTAAAGAGGAGAAGCATATGATGAAGGCTGATATCCAGGATACATAAGGAACCTACACATCTCATCAACAAAAAAAACAGTCTTAATCAGAAAATGAGGGAAATAGGTGAACGGACGATTATAAAGGAAGACATGCAGAGGGCCAATAGTCACATGAAAAAATATCTCTGGTTATACGGGGAAAGCAAATCAGAATGCCATGCCACATCACACCAGTGAAAAGACCCTCTCTCCATCCTAAAGGCAAGAAACAAGTGCAGGCAAGATATGATGAAAAGTCACCCTCATTACGTATCAGTGGTAATGTAAACTGGTTCAGCATCTGTGGAAAATAATATGGAGATGTCTCAAAGCTTTTAAAGTAGAACTACCAAATGATCCAACACTTCCTTCCCCAGGCATCTATTTTAAGAACATGAAACCACTGATTCCAAAAAAGAAATGCACAATATAGCCAAGATCTGGAAACAACCAAAATTCCCATAATATGGGTAGATAAAAATTTTGTGGCATACGTACAAAGCAGAAAACTACTTGGCTATAAGACATGATGGAATTTTGCTTTTTCCCTTGATCAGCTTAGCTGAATTAGTCAGAGAAAGGAAAACCTAAATGTTGTAACTAGTATGGAATTTAAGACACATAGCAAGAGACTAGACAGTGTCTAATTAAAACAAACCTTTAGACTTTGAAAATAGAACCAAGATTCTGAGGGGAATTGAGGGGAGTGAATGGAAGGTGGTGGAGTATATGCTGTAGTCAATATGGTGGAGGGATATTACAACTTCTTGTGTGGTGTGGCATGGTAAAATTGTATCCTTAACAAGGTGATGCTGTCACTTACCATCAGTGATTCTTGAATGTGGCTTAATGTCCACAAATTGCAGTGTCACTATCAGCAATAAACCATCATTCCCTTAAAACCTAAAAGGCCAATTTTTTTTTGTTTTTATTTGGGGGCTACCTCGCTGTGCTCAGGGAACCATATATTATTCCTGGAATCTAACTCAGGTAGGCCACATGCAAAGCTAGTGCCTTAGCAGCTGTACTTTCTCTCTGGCTCTCATAAAGGCCTTTAAAAAATTAAAACATAACTGAATGACTGTGAGATACACAGTTACAAAGCTGTTTATAATCAAGTTTCAGTCATTCAGTATTCCAATACCCTTCCCTCCATCATTGTACATTTTTTGCCACTAATATCCCTAGCTTTTTCTGATAACCCCCTCCCTCTGGAGGCACCCTTCCCTTCCCTTCCCTTCCCTTCCCTTCCCTTCCCTTCCCTTCCCTTCCCTTCCCTTCCCTTCCCTTCCCTTCCCTTCCCTCCCCTCCCCTCCCCTCCCCTCCCCTCCCCTCCCCTCCCCTCCCCTCCCTCCCCCCCCTCCCCTTCCCTCCCCTTCCCTCTCCCTGCTCTCCCCCACCTCCACCCCACCCGCTTCCTCTCTTCTCCCCACTGCTTTTGGCCCTTATGGTTTGCAGTACACATACTGAGAGGTTATGATGTTTTTCCTTTTACCTACTTTCAGCATGCTGTTCTTACCCAGACTGATCATTTCTGTCTTTGTCATATTGTTCCCTCCTCTATCCCAGCTGCCTTTTCCCCTAACACTTGGGGCAGGCTTCCAACCAGAGAACAAATCCTTCTCATAAAGTTCATTGTGGGGTTTGATTTGTTCTTTTGTCAGGATTTGAACTTGACTTAAGCTTGCATTATATATTTTTAAAGTTTTAATATTTGAATGAATTATGATGGTACTTATCAAAATTTATGTAGATAAATTGTGTTATTGACACTATTCAGTGTATTTCACATTCCAGTATCCTTTTGAGTGCCAGCTATTGAAAATTCACTCAACAACGTACTATCTCAGAAACCTGTCAATTTGAAAAAACAGAATTTGCTAATTATTGCTAATTATTATAGTACATGGGCATTATTTCTTGATGTTATTCTATGTGCAGTGTACCTGCAGGATACACACAAAGAATAAGACATGTGTTTAAGAACATGTAAATTTATGGATCAAACATAAACAAGTAGGCAGACAGTTATTTTTCAGTTGTGCAAATTGTTTTGTACAGAGGTTCAGGAGTTGGTAATTTCACACAGAGTAGAGGAGGTCATTGGGGCTCTATGGTTCAGCATGGTGTTACAGAGAAAATCTGAGCTGATTAGGAGGAAATTGTGTATACCCAAAAGGAGTCATGAGGGAGTTGTCTGTTCAGAGAACTTTGACTAGTTCAATGTAGCCAGAGCTCAGCCTGAGAAGAGGAAGCAGATAGGAGGGTTAGAGATATTCACATGGAGGTTTGCACAACATAATGAAAGCCTCCAACTTTGCCCTCTCGACAGTGGGAAGCAGCAGAGGTTCAGTGCCTTGGTAATACCAACAGCCCTCTTTTAGGGATTGTCATCATTGGCAGGATAAACTGGGGAACTGAACAAGGATATGGACAGTGAGTTATGACAAGGTGGTGAGGCTTTGAGTGCACAAAATAATGCGGGAAAGGAAGAATGGGACAGTCGTGAGAGCAGTATCTTAATGAAAAACCAACGTGATGTGATATTTGGTATTTCTTCTTAATATGCTGTGAAAGCAAGTGTATGAACTGAAAAGGACCAGAGTGAAGATAGTACCCTATGTTGAAGTAATGAAACAAGATAAAGAACACATTGGGATTGGGGGATTGAAATAGGTAATGGGGCAGGAGATGAAATTCCTCATAGATCATTTGTCCATTTATGTGGCATTTGTGTTCGTGTGTATGTGCATTTATCTGGAGATAAATGTTATACATATGTTAAACGTATATATTTGAATCTAAAGATGGCTTCATTTTAGTTGAATCAAATCGTGTTGAGGATTTTCTTTTGCTTAGCACTTATTCATTTTTAATATACAAAGTAGATTTTGATTTGAGACTTTTTATGACTTTCCTTTTCGTAATAGGTTTAGGATACAAATATATCTATCAAAAGAATGGTGATCCTCTGCACATAAGTGAACTCCTGGAAAGTTTCAAAAAAGATGCAAGAAGTTTTAAATTGAGGGCTGGAAAACATCAGCTGGAAGACGTGACCGGAGTACTGAAAAGATTCCTCTCTGACATTGATGACGCCGTTCTTACCAAGGAGCTGTATCCTTATTGGATTTCTGCTTTAGGTAATGTATGTAGAACAAAGAAGATAATAATAGATGTTGTTTTCTGCTTTTTCTTTTCCATTTTGTTCTGGGGCCATACCTGGTGATGCTCAGGGGTAACCGCGGGCTCAGTACTCAGGAATTACTCTTGACAGTACTGGAGGGACCATATGGGTTGTTAGGGATGGATCAAACTCTGGTCAGCTATGTGCATGGTAAGCACCCGACCTGCTGTACTATTACTCCAGCCCTATATGTTGTTTTCTTTTCTAATTTCACACATAGACTTTTAAAAATCACTTTGATGCTCTGAATTGTTAATTGCACAGAGCATTGTGCATAATGGCTATTGATAGCAATTATGTAAATATAAGTAATTTCTAATGTGTTTTACGCAGTTAGATTTAGATTCCTTAATATTCTTCAACTTGGGAAATGTTACAGACAAAACTGTGCTATTAATTTCTCATTGAAATTAAAATGAAGGGTTTAAAATAAGATTTTTTAATAAGATATCCCTGCATAGTGGTTTTCTATTTCTTCTACTATTTATGCTTTTTTTTAGAATATAAATTTGGATTTTTATTTTTGACCCTTCATTTTTTTCCTAGATTATAGCTCTGCTATACTGTAAGAAAACCTATTTAGGAAATGACCCTAGACAAGTCATTAAATTATTTCATTGGATCATTTTGATTTCAGCCAAACCTGTATTTACATTTATATACATTAATTCACTATCACTCACTATAGTGAGCGATAGCACAGTGGGTAAGGTGTTTACCTTGCATGTGGCCAACCTGGTAGGCCCAAGTTCTATTCCTCCGCCCCGCTTAGCCCAGCAAGCTACCGAGAGTATCTCCCCCACACGGCAAAGCCTGGCAAGCTATCTGTGATGTATTTGATATGCCAAACACAGTAACAACAAGTTTCACAATAGCACAATGGAAGCATTACTGGGCCTGCTTAAGCAAATCAATGAACAACGGGAGGACAGTGCTACAGTGCTACAGATACATTCAAAATAACTCATTTTATGAAAATTGCAACAAAAAACTTTTAAATATAAATGTCCTTCTTTCAATATTTCATTGCAGCTGTTTTTTATGTGTTATTTAACTTTCTCCCAACAACTATAATTCATATATACAATATCTATTAATGAAACATTTTTTATCTATACGTTCAAGTGGGCTGGAGCAATAGCACAGTGGGTAGGGCATTTGCCTTGCACATGGCCAACATGGCCAACCCGAGTTTAACTCCTCAGCCCCTCTCGGAGAGCCCGGCAAGCTACCGAGAGTATCTCACCCGCACAGCAAAGCCTGGCAAGCTATCCATAATGTATTCAATATGCCAAACACAGTAACAAGAAATCTCACAATGTTACTGGGCCTGCTCGAGCAAATCAATGAACAATAGGAGGACAGTGCTACAGTGCTACTGAGCTACATTCAAGTAATGGTTTTAAATATTCTTTTTTCTTTTTTATCTATTTTTTTTTTAGTTACTGAATCAATATGTGATACTGTTACAAGGTTTCATGTTTGAGTTTCAATCATATAATGATCAAACACCCATCCCTCCACCAGTACACATTCTCTACCACCAATGTCCCCAGTATACCCCCTATCCAACCCTTACCCGACCTCCATGGCAGACAATTTCCCCCAAACTCTTTCTCTACTTTTGGACATTATGGTCTGCAATACAGATACTTTATCTACTTTCAGCATACATCTCCCATCCTGAAAGATTCCTCCAACCATCATTGACTTAGTGATCCCTTCTTCATTCTAGCTGCCTTCTGCCCCAGCTCATGAGACAAACTTCCAACTATGGGGCAGTTTTGCTGGCCCTTGTGTCTACTGTCCTTGGGTGTCAGTCTCATGTTATTTTATATTCTATAAATGAGTGCAGTCCTTCTATCTGCCCCCTCTCTTTCGCGTCATTTCACTTAGCATGATACTCTCCATGTCCATCCACTTATAAGCAAATTTCATGGCTTCATCTCTCCTAACAGCTGCATAGTATCCCACTGTGTAGATGTGCAAAGTTTCTTTAACCAGTCATCTGTTCTCCAGCACTTGGATTGTTTCCAGGTTCTGGCTATTGTGAACAGTGCTTCAATGAACATATAGGTGCAGATGTCATTTCTGCTGTGCTTTTTTTGCACCCTCAGAATATATTCCCAGAAGTGGTGTTGTGGGGTCAAACTCTAGAACCTCAATTTCTGTGTTTGAAGGAATGTCCATATTGTTTTCCAAAAAGGCTGGACCAGTTGACATTCCCATCAACAGTAAAAAAGCATCTCTTTTTCCCCACACCCATGCCAGCAGTGGTTGCTTTTGTTCTTTTGAATGTGTGCCAGTCTCTGTGGTGTGAAATGATATCTCACTGCTGTTTTGATTTGCAGCTCCCTGATGAGTAGCAATGGGAGCATTTTTGTGTGTGTTTGGCCATTTTTTTAAGGAAGCTTTTGTTCATTTCTTCTCCCTGTTTTTTGATGGGTTTGGAGGTTTTTTCCTTGTATGATTCTACTAGTGTCTTGTATATCCTGGATATTAATATCATATCAGATGGGTGTTGGGCAAATATGCTTTCCCATTCTGTGGGTTCTCTCTTTATTATAGTCACTGTTTCTATTGAAGTGCAGAAGCTTCTTAGTTTGATATAGTCCATGTGTTTGATTCCACTTGTATGGGCAATGGTGTTTCTTCCTTAAAGATGCCTTTAAGCTTCAATATCAAGGAGGGTTCTGCATACACTTTCCTCCATGAACCTTATGTATTCATGTCTGAAATTGGGGTCTTTAATCCACTTTGATCTGACTTTTGAGTCTCGCCTTAGTCAGAAGTCAAAGTTTATTTTTTGCAGTTAGCTATCCATTTTTCCCAGCACCATTTGTTGAAGAAGTTTCCTTGTTCCACTTCACATTTCTTGCTCTTTTATCAAATATTAAGAGACCATATATTTGTGGGTTCATGACAGAATATTCAACTCTGTTCCATTGGTCTGCAGGTCTGCTTCTAGTCCAATACTATGCTGTTTTAATTACTACTGCTTTGTAGTACAGTTTGAAATTAGGGAAGGTGGTGCCACCCATTTCCTTTTTCCCAAGGATTATTTTAGCTATAGTGGGTGTTTATTGTTTCATATGAATTTCAGTTACTGTCTGAGTTCATCATGTCAACCAAAACCTTCCATGGTAACTCACAATTCCAAAAGGCTGAATCTAAACGTTGGACATGGGAGTCTCCCGATGGACGGTTCCACAATGAAATAGACCACATCATATTCAATCGGCGGTTTTGCCTAACCGATGTTGCTGTTGTCCCAAAATTCCAAACGGGATCAGACCACCGTCTTCTTCGTGCAAAATTCTACCTCACAGAACGAGAAGCCATCAACGATGACCTCAAAAACAGGACAGCAGCAGTACTGGTAGTTGCAGCAGAAGCTGGGAAAAACATTCGTAATGCCCGCCTGTCCTTCACCAACTACAAAACCAAGATGACTGCCCTCCGACATCATGATGGATCTATCACATCTTCCAGAAGGGCAATGGAGAAGATTATTCATGACTTCTACTCAGATCTCTTTAATAGCCACATCCACTTGCCCACATACCACATACCACATGATGGATATGTCGTTCCCAATGTTCTCCCTTCCGAAATCCAACATGCCATCTCGTCTGTAAAGAAACAAAGAGCACCTGGCCCAGACAAGATCAGACCTGAACACCTGAAGAACTTACCATCAGTACTCATCAATACATTGGCTCGACTCTTCACATGCTACCTGTCTGAATGCAAGGTTCCATCCCAATGGAAAACCAGCAAGACTGTACTACTATACAAGAAAGGAGACATCCACGACATTGGCAACTATCGCCCAATCTGCCTATTGTCTGTCATCTACAAACTATTCACTCGAGTCATCCTGAATAGGATTAGCAGAACACTAGATGAAGGACAACCATGTGAACAAGCTGGATTCCGAAAAGGATTCAGTACCATCGACCATATCCACACAATAACCAAGCTCATTGAGGTATCTCGGGAGTTCAAGATGCCACTCTGTCTAACGTTCATTGATTTAAAGAAGGCCTTTGATTCTGTTGAGACGGAAGCGGTCATGGAAGCCCTAGCCAATCAGGGCGTACAAACTCAATACATCAGGATCCTTCGTGAGCTCTATTGCGGATTCACTACCAAGATCTCACCATTCTACAAAGAAGTAATGATCCATATCAAGAGAGGGGTTCGGCAGGGTGATACCATTTCACCAAAACTCTTCAGTGCCACCCTCGAGAACATCATGCGACAACTGGAATGGGAAAACATGGGAGTGAAGATAGATGGTCGGCAACTACACCACCTCCGCTTTGCTGATGACATCGTTCTAATAACACTAAACATCAACCAAGCGGCACAAATGCTGAACGACTTTGACCGTGAATGTGGAAAGGTCGGACTACAGCTGAATCTTACGAAGACAATGTTTATGAGAAACAACCTTGTTCCTGACGCTCCATTCGCTCTCAACGGAACCACCATCTCCGAATGCAACAGTTATATATACCTAGGTCGAGAAATCAACATGATGAATGACCTGGCACCTGAGTTGCGCAGGAGGAAGAGAGCGGCTTGGAATGCCTTCAAGAGCATTGAAGAAATAACTAAAAGGACAAAGAACCTCCAGCTACGAGCACATCTCTTTGATTCCACTATTCTTCCTGCATTAACATATGCCTCAGAGACCTGGACCCTACGAAAACAGGATGAGAACACTATTCGGGTCTCTCAAAGAGGAATCGAAAGAACTATGCTAGGAATATCACGATTCACTCAAATGAGAGATAGAATCCGGAGTTCTGATCTTCGTCAACGCTCAAGAATCAGGGACGCTGTCTCATTTGCCAAGACATCAAAAATCAGATGGGCTGGACATGTAATGAGGTTTACAGACAACCGCTGGACTAGAGCCATTACTGATTGGATTCCACGAGACATCAA